AAGTCCCATACCTTGAGTACCTATTGGGACTTAAACTCAAGTGGAACTTGTACATATTATCCAATATGAGAGAGTGAGTGATTGATTTAACTGATCTACTTGTTGAGCTGAGTAGTTGTATATTTATCTATCTACTGAAGACTCTGTATCTATCGACTTCTGGTAATTGTGGCGGGGGGGCTGTGCATGTATATATATATATATATATATATATATATATATATATATATATATATATATATATATATATATATTTTGTGGACATTTATATAGCTATGAATATATAACAATGTACTTTTAGCTTTATATCTTAATGACCACACCTGTGTATGTTTTTCCACCTCTTTTCATATAAACTGAGGGAGAAGCCTACATGTAATTAAGCAAAACGCATCCACTTTGTATGTCATCACGAACACAATAGACATTCTTTATGTGAAGCCCGTGAGGCAATAATACAATAAAAAGATGAGATTTTCTAAAACCAATTCTTCTTTATATTCCCAACATACCCAAAATACCAGCAAACCTTAAAAGATAAAGAGTTCTTTTGTGTTTGATAAATTGTATCCCCAATCAATTATTTACAGATATAAATTAGATACTAAGATCTGAGAACAATATATATACATATATATTTTTTAAGACATTTTTTTTTTATAAACATAAAAAAAAATGTCTTAAAAATAATTGTCGGACTTTGTCCATTTCATAATGTGTGACATCATTTGTCTACATTTGGATACGCAATAAACAGATATGAATGTACGTGAGAGAATCATGGAAGATTGTAGTTTAAAGACAGTAAAATCGACCTTGCTAACCGAATACTCTTCTGTGGCCAAATCGGTTAAAGGCACGTCAGGCTATATGACGGTTCCTGTCGGAGGACAAATATTTTCTATGAAAATTTCTCGGACATTCAGGCCAGTAAATCTTGTTTAATACTGTTTATTATAAATGTTTATTATTAGAATTTACTTAAATATTTGTATCTATAAAAAGAATGTATAAACATAAAAAATGTCTTAAAAAATAATTGACAGACTTTGTCCATTTCATAATGTGATACATACATATATATATATATATATATATATATATAAGTGTGGGTGTGTTGTGAGTAATGGCATTATATATATATATATATATATATATATATATATATATATATATATATATATATATATATATATATACTCACACATATATATATATATACTGAGAACAAACAAAAAAATAATTGTAAATATAAAATAAATATAGATGAGAAAATTCTTAAAATCATCAGAAATACCTATTTAATGATCCATCATCATTGCTAATGGATATTCATATATATTATATATATATATATATATATATATATATATATATATATATATATATATATATATATATAAACAAACAAGCAGACAAAGCAGGTATAGGTTCTAATGTGTGATGTGTTTATGTGTGTGTGTGTGCACAGGTATCTATGAGTCGCATGTATATATGTATGTGTGTATACAAATATACATATAAAAATGGTCTAATATATGTATATGCCTGCATGGGTATGTATGTATGTATGTATATGCATGAGTATCTACATAAAAAATGTACTCTCTAGTTTTCGTGGACTGATTCAAAACCAACAGACACCAAATAGGCCTAATATATATATATATATATATATATATATATATATATATATATATATATATATATATATATATACATTATGAAATGGACAAAGTCTGACAATTATTTTAAGACATTTTTTTATGTTTATACATTCTTTTTAGATAGAAAAAAATATTTAAGTAAATTCTAATAATAAACATTTATAATAAACAGTATTAATAACAGTTACTGGCCTGAAAATTTCTATGAAAATTTCTCAGACCTTCAGGTCAGTAAATGTCGTTGATACTGTTTATTATAAACAGAGCATTTACTTAAATATTTGTATCTATAAAAAGAAAAATGTATTGCTTTTCCAATTTGTCCCAAAAGATTCTTTTTTTTTGTTCAGATGAAGAGACACAGGCCAAGAACTTTTCAGCACCTCATTGTATATACCTGTTGCATGTAGAGATATGTGCATTTAGACAGGTATAGTTATATAGACTTTATACGAATGCTTATGAAGCATCCGTATTTACATTTCCAATTACAGGATTTGGCACAAGTACTGGGAGTCAACAGTGTCTTGATAAACATTAGCCTCATAAATAACTCAGATATGTTTATAAGATAAGTGAGATATTTTAAGCCATTTTTGGAGGAAAAAGTAGTTGAATGTTGATAGTTGTATGTAATAGATAGATAGATAGATAGATAGATAGATAGATAGATAGATAGATAGATAGATAAGGAACAGACTGAGAAAGATAGGCTGGAACTGAACAAGATAGACAAATAGATACAAGCTGAACAAGGTAGATATCAATAGATCGGAACAGATTGAGATAGATAGATAGATAGATAGATAGATAGATAGATAGATAGATAGATAGATAGGAATAGACTGAGATAGATTGTAGCAGAATGTGGTTGACAGGAAGATAGGAATAGAATAAGGTAAATAGATAGCTAGATATGAGACTGAGATAGGTAGAGAGATTGGAACAGAATGAGATAAATAAATAGATAGATCATAACAAAATGAGATAGATAGATAGATAGATAGATAGATAGATAGATAGATAGATAGATAGATAGATAGATAGAACACTGCTTCATTTTTTCTCATATCTCTCAGATATTATTTCATGGGAAAAAAAAATACACAGTACATTGATTATCCACAACTATATGCACATCTGCAGCCACACATAAAACCCCTTAAAGGTGATACCAACAAAGAATGAGAAAATAAAATATTTTCTTCTGGGGTCTGTGATTCCCATGAATCTCATTTTTGTCAGAACAGGTAAAGACGTGATTTCCCCATAGGGCCAAGGTGATGTATGCAGTTAGAAAGCATGCTGGCATTTTTATGTAGTAAAGAATCAGGCAGCAGTGAATTTACTGGATTCTGAAAATGCCTTGAGAAAGTGGGTAAGCAATTAGGGAGATTTAAGCAATGGAGTAATAGACACTTTGGCTACAAAGATGCAGCCATGTGTCAAAGAGTTTCTTTTTTGGAAGATAGATAGATAGATAGATAGATAGATAGATAGATAGATAGATAGATAGATAGATAGATAGATAGATATGAATAGATTGAGATAAATAGATATGAATAGATTGAGATAAATAGATATGAATAGATATGAATAGATTGAGATAAATAGATATGAATAGATTGAGATAAATAGATATGAATAGATTGAGATAGATAGATAGATAGATAGATAGATAGATAGATAGATAGATAGATAGATATGAATAGATTGAGATTTTTAGATATGAATAGATTGAGATAAATAGATATGAATAGATTAATAGATAGATAGACATAAACAGATAGGTAGATAGATAGATAGATAGATAGATAGATAGATAGACATGAAAAACAGATAGATAGATAGATAGATAGATAGATAGATAGATAGATAGATAGATAGATAGATGAACAGATTAGATTAATAGATAGACATGAACAGATAGATAGATAGATAGATAGATAGATAGATAGATAGATAGACATGAACAGATAGATAGATAGATCGATAGATAGATAGATATGAATAGATTGAAATAGATAGATTAATAGATAGACATGAACAGATAGATAGATAGATAGATAGATAGATAGATAGATAGATAGATAGATAGATATGCATGCATGTATCCTGCCTACCTCACACAACAGGAACTTATTATCAGCGGCAGATAAATTCCCAAACTCTTTCCACCTGATGCTGAAATCTGTAGATAATAGTAAACAATAGTTACACAGTATGTCCAAAGATTTTACCCAAATATTGGCAGTCAGACAGAGAAGTAGAGGAACAAGTTTGCGTAAATGTTTGGCAGAAGAGAAATTAGAAGAGATAGCAAAAAACACAAACTTTAATAAGAGCTACAAAGGACAGGAAGCCATGATTGCCCACATCCTGAAGAGGCATGTGATATAGAAGAAGAAAAATTAAAATTGATTTTCTTTTTTTGCCCAAATTTCTGGGATGAAGTGTTATCATTATTTCTATTATTTTCAGTTTGACTAACATCCTCATCTCTGTCTTTAATGACAATGTTTCAGCCATTGCACTCTCCAGCCTTCAGATGTCTGTTTATAAATGTTATACATTTGACCATATTAAGGGCATCGTCTCTTACTTCCTCATTATCTATACCTTAATTGATAGTTTTGTAGTAACAATTGATTTGTGATGAAAGATAAAACATGGTACTCGGACTTTTGGCTGAATAGACATTTAGCCGAATGGACATTTAGTCGAAAATGTAGTGACGTACTTACATGTATGTCACACTCTTTATCGTAATCTGCTATATATATTTATATTTATTTACTGTATTAATTTATAATTTTTCGTTTTTTGACAGGTTTTTTTTTTTTAAATCTATTCTGTATAAATTATATTTTACTTCAAATATTACTGTAAGATGAAAAGTATTTTGAGAAAAAGCACATTTTACTACAGCAAAAATCTATATGAAAGATCTTTCAATTTCACTTTTAATAATTATTATCTTAAAGGGATGAACTAGTTTTTATCTTACTGTTAAATACGAATTTAAATAATTAGCTGCTACTTTTTACCCAAATACATTCAAATATTTTTAAAAATACTAATTTCTATAAACAAATATTGAAATAAGAAATCTTTTAACTTTAAATTTAGATTTAGTAATTTAATCACTTGAAATTCAGTGGTAATTATTAGTCCTTTTCCAACTTATAATACTGCTAATTAAACTACTATATTGCTCGTTAGTATTTTTACTTGTACTTTTTTTGGTGAAAGGTCCATCAGCCAAATGTCCGTTCGCCCGATGTCTGGCCACGGAAAACACAGATTGCCAAATGCAAAAGAGTGTAGGATGTTATGGTGAGCAAATGGACTTTTTCCAACATTAGCAGAATGGGTTTATATTGCGTATAAGAAAAAAAATCACAGTATGGTATTTATTACCCAGATTGACATTATTGACATGCAAAGTGAACTCAAATTCCAGCTTTGTCTTTTAAGTTCACTTGGCACTAATAATCTTGCAAAAGGCATGGATCTGCTTCTTTTTTTTCCAGCACAGTTATGCAGACTTCAATTATGAGGCAATTCTTTGAAATCTAGATGGTGACCTAAAACTTATGGACTATTTTGCATATGTGTATCTGTATTTTAAAAAAAAATGATATAGAAATATAAAAGAATAAAAGGGAGTAATTATTTACACTAATTACATTTTTCAATTCCATATTCATGATGAGCTGTTGTACTCTCCAGAATTTCGAACTGAACCCTTTATTGCATCCACTGGTGGATTGTTCTGGTTCCACATGCCATGCCACTTTTGGATGTTTCAGTTTAAGTTTAACTCAACTCTCCAAAATTTCTGTTCACCTCTGCTGTAGCCAGGTATGAAACTCATGACTATTTGGGTCAAGTTACTGGATCCAGTCAACACTTTTATCCACTAGGCCATGTATCCTTGAGAGCAGCATATGAATTTTGGGGACTTATAAACCTAATGTCTCGGTAATCATTTTTTACCAGAGCTCATAATGCAATTTTGTTGTTATTATTGTTTTTTTCTCAAGCTCTCCTTATTACTGGTTCCCATATTGTATTCATTTCTATGCTTGGCCAACTTAGGAGATTTTTGTGGCCTAGCATGTGTGCTGGTTCCTTAAGTTTTAATCTTTTTCAGTGATGTTCTCTGTCCTTTTTTTCAAACTCATCCCACAGTTCAAAATTCCAATCATCTGAAGAAGGTTGGAGTGTACAATGGCCAAAACGTAAATATGACAATAAAGATGAGGACAACAGTCTGAACAATGTAAACAGTGCAAATAATTACAATACCTCATCTCAGAAATATAAACAGATATTAACAGGGAGTAAATAAGAGAAAAACAGAAAAATGTTTCATTCTAAAAAAAGAGACTTCTTCAGAGAAAATAATTAGTTTTACTGATGGAATCAATACTATATTTAATAGGAGGAAATAGGATGAAAATATCATAAACACTAGTGACAGCTGATATTGAAGTGTCACAGATACATATATATATATATATATATATATATATATATATATATATATAATTTATATGAAAATTATGACATAAACATGTAGTAATTTTATAACATATTTATGTTATAATTTTGAATAAATTATATTTGCTCAACTCTGTATTGAGCACTCTTTTAAGAATAGTATTTTTGTTTATTAGAATTTATTCTGTATACACCAATCCTATACTTGGGTATATATATATATATATATATATATATATATATATATGATAATAGCTGGCCACTCATATTCGAGGATGCCTGTCTACTAGGGTGGCTAGCCAATCCCTATTGCAAACACTTGCTCAGGCACATTTGTGTTTGTTCAACACCAACGGAGCCCACCTGTGGTTTATACTGCAACTATGCTGAGCAGACATTAGTTACAGTTTCTGGGAAAGAGCGTGCTATCTAGCATGATCAACAATTTGAACAAGCCCAGCATGCTCAAGCCCTTGGCCATGATGACATATACATATATATATATATATATATATATATATAGATATATAGATATAGATATATATACAAATGCAGATTTACAGACAGATGCATGCATTCAAAAACATTTGTACCCCAATTGTGATGGTAATATTAACCATTTTCTTTATAAGGAAACATTTTGCATTTATTGACTGACCAGGCAGTGCTAATTTCATTTGAAATTTATATATTTTTTCTTTTAAAATTGTTTTTTTTCCAGAAAATATGTTTCTCAAGTCCAGTAGCTGTTATCTATTATTCTTTCCATTATTGATGAGGGTTTCCTTCCTAACCTTTTGTTTAAAGTAGTGTGGAATAACAACATTTCAATTATGTCATTATTTTCTCTTCAAGTTACATGTGCAATCCATTTTAGTTGTTGTTGTTTTTTAAAGTCAGTTATATGGTTTCTGTTATCTGGTAAAATTCTTTTTTTGTGATTGTATAGCACCAGTTCACAAAGTTCAAGGAAGGACAATCTTCACCAAGATACACAGACCTCAAAGCCAGTTTTAAACATTGGTCTTAGAAAGCCATTGTCTTCAGCTGATGGGTTAGATATTTCTAAAGCCATATAAAAGTTTCAATCTGACTGAGCTATTTAAAGCATGAATTGAATTTTCAGGTTAATACTTTGATTTTGCAGTAATTTGTAATTTGAATAAAACTACCTCTAACACAGCCTATTTTATGCTCAATTTCCTTATCTCCTGTAATACTAAATACTTCAAATACTTTGTTATAGCAGGTCTGTAAGTATTTGAAGTATTTAGTATTTACTAATTCCACATTCTGAATTTTTACGATGGATTCAGGTTTGGTGCCATACCTTCTTTCATTCTAATTCCAGATCATTGTTTCTGTTATATAGGAAAAAAATGTCTCTGCCGACACTGGAGTTTGAACACAGATCACCAGAGAGCAAACACAGGCAATCCCATTTTGAATAAGTAGATCACGTGATGGCAAAAGAAATGTATATATGGGAATTAGCATGGTGTCTAAGTGATCACTCTTTCTATTCTATTCTCTATTACTATATGAATCCCTATTTCTACACTATCTTCTATTACTATATAGTTCACTATTCTCTATTCTATTCACTATACTATTTCTATAAACTGATCACTATACAGATTACTATTCCATGGTTACTTTTCAAGTGAGTATTATCAAGCAAGTACTATTAGTGCGAGTGATATTTGAAGGTTGTTTGACACCAGTATTGTTCAATGGTGTTACTATAGTTGTATCTGTGATTACAAAGTCTCTACTATAACAAGCATTATGAAAGTGACAACAAGTATTCGTTGACATTACAAAAGTGGCAACAAGTGTTTGCTGACATCACAAAAGTTTCTGATTTGAAAAGGTTTATCATGACTTCTATTTCTTGGAATATTTGATAGAAAATGTTCATTTTTTTGTTCCAGAACATTCTTATCTGATCTATGAATACCTATTTCATCAACATAGTCCCCCTCATCATCAGTACATTAGGCTCAGGTGGGGAAACAGGATAAGTAAAATTTATTCTTTTATTTTTATAAATAGGATATTTGACTGTTCCAAATATGTATTCATGTAAAAAAACAAATTTTAAGACATATTACATTCTGAAAAATCTTTTTAAAAAATGAGAAAAAGAAAAGAACTACAGGGGAATAGACATATCTAGGTGATGCTGTAACAAGGTGTGTAGTAATCTACTCATAGAGTGTGAATAAAGCTCCAAAGAGGCTTGACAGTAGTCAATGGGCTGTTAAGCATAAAAAGGCCTAGTTTTAATGAATAGATGTAGATATTTAAAGTCAAACTAAATGAATATTTTTTTTTAATAATGTTCCCTCTATGAAAGGCACAAGAGCTAATCAAGGTAAAGGGCTAATGAAGGAGTTTGTTGTTTGAGTAAAAAGAGGAAAAGGTAAGAGGTGTGGTTTACTTTACATCCAACCATTTATAAATAGGCTTGTGATGAAACAGGCAGGAAGATAGCAACAGAATTTTCTCCCATAAAGACTAAAATACATCTCTTACAGAATTCCTGTGGTAAATCGCCTGGCCAACTCCACTTTGTGTTCTATGGTAAATGCAAAAATCGACTGACATTCCCAAAATGAGAAAAAAAGAAAAGAACAGATTAAGTTGGCATTGACCCACAATGGAGAAAATATTCTATGTTTTTTCTCCAGAAATACAAATTCTGCAGTAAAAGAAAGGAGCTTGCTGAAAATATAGAAACACACACATAATAAAAATAAGGAAACCAAATTGATAATCTTGGGTGAAACATATTTGTGCATGCATACATGAACACATACATACACACATATAGTCATCCACAGACAGACTGCTTTACTGTATCACAGCTCATCAGTATGGCTAGACATCTGGTTGCCTCTAGCTAGGATCAAAACCCAGCTGAATTGGCATCAGTTGGAAAATCTACCACATGGCAGGGATGAAGATGAATTTAAGCATACTTATTTTTAGATAAACATACCAGTGACTGGGAGAACTCAATTCATTTTATTAAAGAGTATTGCATTAGTAGCAGTAATAGTCACTGCTTACAAACTCACACTTTCTCTCCAGAGGGCTCAACTGAAATAATTTTTCTGGAGCATATATATTGTCATCCACAGATATATACCAGTGTAACAGCAAAATGGTCCAAATCGTGTAGCAGCATGGAATAATTGTTCATCCCTAAAAATGTTAAATATTTAAAAAAAACATTAAAATAATTGAGTTTTTATTTTCCAGGCCTTCAGATAAAACGTTTAGCCATCTTGACACCAGTTGTCATAAGAATCAGTGAAAAACCATTTGAGTTATTCAGCTAGAAAGAGAACAGGTTAAAATCATTTTCTGTCAGCCCCACTGTCTTTTCAACTAAGCAATGGTGATAGGAAAATATTCATTCAAGCTTTCAGTAATGGTAACAACATTCATATTCTGGCTTCCATCTTCAAAGTCCATTCAAGGACCATTAAGAGAATGGTGAATAAGTTTAAAAAGAAGGAACAGTAGAGACGAAAAAAACGGGATCAGGTGATCACAACAGCAAGAGGGATCATCATTTCAACTTGAAGCTAAAGAGATCAATTATAAGAGAGCCAACTCAATCCATAAGATATTTGACATGTGAGAGGAGTTTCAGCTATGACAGTTCAATAAGCAGTGAAAAAAAGACTTAAAAATGAAATTGTATGTGAAACCTGTGAGGCATCTTGTTACTCCAGGACAGAAAATTAGGAGGTTAGAGAGGGCAAAGATCATCTTGAATAAATTGGAAAATGATCCTGGAATAATAATACATATATATATATATATATATATATATATAAATATAATGGAACTTTATATTGATCCTTCATGAGCTTCTGATCTTTAGCTAAGATTAATTAATGGTGAACATGCCATTTTCATTTATGATCAATTTCATCACGATTCTTCTGTTAAGTTTGGAGAGTAATTATGCATTCTTATTGCTCAAAGTAGAGTCCAAGAGTGTTATAAAAACCTTTGAGAATTCCAGTTAGATATCTTTAATCATTTCTAAGATACAATAGTTCAAAGCTTAATCTAACAATTGGACAATTTTGTTGTTACATATATACATATTTTAAGACATTTTTATGTTTATACATTCTTTTTTTATATAAATACTTAAGTAATGCTCTGTTTATAATAAACAATATTAACAACATTTACCGGCCTGAATGTCCGAGAAATTTTCATAGAAAATATGCATCCTCCAACAGGAATCGAAATAAGGAACCATCATATAGCCTGACATGCTTTACAGATTTAGCCACAGAGGAGCATTTCGGTTATCAAGGTCGATTTTACTGTTTTTAAACTACAATTCTCTATGATTTTCTCTCATACATTCATATCTGCTCAATGTGTATCCAAATGTAAACAAATGACATCACACATTATGAAATGGACAAAGTCTGACAATTATTTAAAGACATTATTTATTATTATTTATTATTATTATTATGTACGAGAGAAGATCATGGAGAATTGTAGTTTAAAAACTGTAAAATCGACCTTGCTAACTGAAACGCTTATTTCAAAATGATCGATATATCAGATCAACAGAAAGAAACATTTAGAAATAGATTTTACAATCATAAAATAACAAGGAGAGCCAAGTACAAAACTAGTGCAGCACTTTCAAAATATGTTTCGGTCACAACCACTTGTGACTTCATGCTAGCACAACCATTGATGGCTTTTAAACAGTTCTGTCTACCTAATTTCACTCACAAGGCATGGGTTAAGCTGTGGTATGATTTTTAGGCACCTTGCAAAAGTGGTGCATGTTGAGATCACCTCCCCAGGCTGAGAGAAACAAGAAATCACTTCCCTAACAAACCAACTGAGGTGAGATTTGAACCTGGCTTACATGGCCAGAAAGCAAATGATCTAACCACTCAGCCATGCACCCAAATATACACATTTCAACTTAACCAATCAAAAACAAGCAAAAGAAAAGTAAAAAATACCAGAATTTTCTTTTCTTCTCTGATAAAGCTTAAATAAAAGCAAAAAATATTGAATTTATAAATGTTTTCTATTTGTTCCTAATCCTATCATTCTATCGGATTCTCTAATCTAATCATATTTTATCCATATTTGATCCCAGCTCATATATGGTGGACTCTCCTATTGTGAACAATAAATGAGGATCAGCATTGGATGGTGCCTTTCGTTTTACACTTAATGCATGCTACTGGGGGCTATTGTGGAGAAAATCAGGTAAGGGAAAGACATATTTCATTTGTGCTTTCTTAAGTGTGATACTAGCCCAGCCATGCTGTGGGTGACAAAGCCACACTGAGAGACGAAATTTGCTAAAGCAGGATTTTGATGGCGTCTCTGCTTCAGAGCTTGATGAAGCTGATCACGGTGCTTCTGTCTACTGTCTTCAAAAGCCTTTAACTTAATGAAACATGTCTTATGCCACTATATATATATATATTATTAAGAAATTCAAGGCATAATCACATCGAAAAACAAAAGAAAGAAATGTGTGTATGTGTATTTGTGTGTACACTTCTGATGAATCCTAGAAAGGCAAAATGTGTAATCAAATCTATTTTTCATTGATGCATGTTTCATTAAATAATATAGACAAGTTTTGTCTATTTCGTTTAAGTAAATTCCTTTCATGTTGTCTGATAAGCTTAATAACATTATCATTGAAAGATGAAAGAAAATCACAATATTGATACATGATTTTAATCCTATCTAAGCTTTCAGCTTACATAAGCCATTATCAAAGATGACAATTACATTTCAATATAGTAAACAATACACAGACAAAACAATAATGATAGTCTGTTTTTGTTGCATTAAAGATTTCCAAGCAACGACAAACTCGTGTATACGAGACACGGAAGCGAAAATCGCACCGCAGCTCATGAAGTCACACATGACCACATGAGAGTGAAAATGAGAAGTATTAAGTATGGGAAGCCATTGGTATAAACCAATGGCTTCTGTTATTAATTATAGGCATTTAAGAATATTTGTGGAGATTTCATAGTTTATTTTGTTCAGGTTAAGTTTCAACTGTTTTATGTATAAAGCTTCAAGAATTTTTAGCTTTTGTTTATTGTTTTCATGTTTAAGTATAGTCGTGTTTTCAACGAGGATTTTCTAAAATTGTGTATGCGTATATATATATATTTAAATTCTTATAACTATGAATGCCAAAACATCAGCAATGAACCTTTATTAGATGCTGACCCCAGGAATTAGGCACAGATTCAGTGGCAACATATTATTAATACTAAAATCAATTAATATTAGTATGTATTAATTAATTAATAATTACTATGCATTAATTAATTAATATGCATGAAGAGACTTCTTTGGATTGAAGGTTGTTCTGGCCCCTTACTGCAACTGATCACTTCCTACCGGATGTCATGGACTCCACCTTATTGTTTAGGTGAAGAGGATGTTTAATGAGAGGATTTGAACCACTGCAAAATTTTACTCTTCTAAATCAACTCACAAACATATGTCATTTCTTATAAAATAAGATTAGCCATTAAGAAGGATAGTAATCACTAAAATTATTTTGTGAGGTAAAAATCATTCTCCGCTTGACATAAAGAAGCAATTAAATTTTTTTTAATTTTTTAAGAAACAATTAAAATTTTTTAAGAAACAATTAAATTATTTTAAAAATTTTAAAAAATTAATTAATTTTTAATTATTTAAAAAGCAATTAAAATTTTTTAAATATTTAAAAAAAAAACTCAATTAGAATTAAAATTATTGATATATATATATATATATAACCTGAGCAGTTTTTGTGAACAGATATATATTTATAAATTTTGTTTGTTTTAATTACTGCTTAAAATTTTGTGATAATTTTTTCCCCTACTTCTATTTATCTGAAATTTTGATTAATTTTTTTTTTTTTTTCCTAAAAGCATCAAATTAATTCTAGCATTTTCCATCGGTCAACAAATTAAATTGAGGAAACCAAGAAATTATGCAATTAAACGCCAAATGTGTGCACAGCAATTGCAGAAAATGGAAAATAGAGGAAAATTGTAAGCAGAATAAAAAAAAAATAGTAAAAAGTGAAAGAGATAGCCATTAAAAAGATGTCTCTTCAAAATCTGAGGCATTTTAAGAACTACTTAATGATTTAAACCAAGCAATGAACACCTGGGGTTCATTTCTAACTGAAAAGAATGAGCAGTAATGACTGGATTTGATGGCCGGTTTAGAAATCACTTGACTCCATTGATCAAACAGAACAGCGTTACGAGAATAGAATCTTTGTGTTGTCAAGGAGGGCGTCACCTGAGAATAATGTCTGAAAATACTAAGATAGTAAATATTGTGACAGTAAAAAAAAAATAAAAATGAAAACAAAAGAAAACATGCAGACCAAAACTTAAAACCAAAGAATACAAGCAAAGAAAAAAATTGCAAGCATAAAATAAAATGTCTCAATAATTAAAATTAAAAAAAAAAAATTTTGCTAATTTCCTACCACCGACTAAAGGGATGTGTGGTGTAATGGATAATGGCTCATCGTGGAATGAAAAATCAAATCAGAAATCTGAGTTCGAATTTCAGTCTTGTTCATGTAAATATCCTTGAGAAAGATATGAATCTTTTGCTGCTCCTTCCAGCTATGGGTAAATAGCAGAGCAGACAGGACCTATAGCCTTGGTTGGCAACCAGTCTAGGAGAAGGAGATTTCTGAATTCTGAGCAGGGTTTTAGCAGACCTTATTGCATGCTGTGTGCACCAGTTCTCAGTATTTGTTTCTTCCAAAATGTGTGATTTGTTCTGCACAAATTTTCACCGTTATAATCAAATTATCTTTCTTCATATCATAGTCTTTTTCTTTTCAATCTATCTATCTATCTATCTATCTATCTATCTATCTATCTATCTATCTATCTATCTACTTCAGTCTGTTCTTTATCTATCTATCTATCTATCTATCTATCTATCTATCTATCTACTTCAGTCTGTTCTTTATCTATCTATCTATCTATCTATCTATCTACTTCAGTCTGTTCTTTATCTATCTATCTATCTATCTAAGTCTCATCATATATTTCATAGTCTGTTTCTATCTATCTGTCTTTCATAGACTGTTTCTATCTATTTATCTATCTATCCTTCATAATCTGTTTCAATCTATCTATCTTTCAAAGTCTGTTTCTATCTATCTATCATTCAAAGTCTGTTTCTATTTATCTATCTATCTATCATTCAAAGCCTGTTTCTACCTATCTATCTATGTATCTATCTTCATAATCTGTTTCAATCTATCTAAGTTTCATCATATCTTTCATAATCTGTCTCTATCTATCCTTCATAATCTGTTACAATCTATCTATCTATCCTTCATAATCTGTGTCTATCTATCTATATTTCATAATCTGTTTCTATCTATCTATCTATCATAATCTGTTTCTATCTATCTATCATAGTCTGTTTCTATCTATCTATCATAGTCTGTTTCTATCTATCTATCTTTCATAATCTGTTTCTATCTATCTGTCTATCATAGTCTGTTTCTATCTATCTATCTATCTATCTATCTATCTTTCAAAGTCTGTTTCTATCTATCTATCTATCTATCTATCTATCTTTCAAAGTCTGTTTCTATCTATCTATCTATCTATCTATCTATCTTTCAAAGTCTGTTTCTATCTATCTATCTATCTATCTATCTATCTATCTATCTATCTATCTATCTTTCAAAGTCTGTTTCTATCTATCTATCTATCTATCTATCTATCTATCTATCTTCCAATGTATATCAGTTGAAGGCAGTTGGAGTGAACATCAGCCGAAATCTTGTGAATATACCAATAAAGATGAGGACAACATTTCAACACTATATATATATATATTGATATCCATATATTAATTGCATACAAGAGGTAGCTGGTAAATTCTCAGGCATAGTGTCCTCCCAAAATGAACAAATAGAAGTAGTTTTCAGCACCCTCCCTTTGTACAAGTACATGAAAAAAAAAACTGTTAATATATCATCATTTGATTAACAAACCAATGTCATGTTTGATTTTTTCACATTGATTGATCATCAACAAGCAAGTCTCTCGGAGGAATTACTTTCATCATTTATGCCCAAAATTGACTAGCAAAGTGTTAGATAGATAGATAGATAGATAGATAGATAGATAGATAGATAGATAGATAGATAGATAGATAGATGTCTCCACATTAAGGAAATCTTACTAACGGAATAGATATAAATAGTGTGGACATAGGAATAAACACTGCTTGGTTATTGTCAGTCTCCTATTCCTTTAACAAGATGAAAGGGACATATATATATATATATATATATATATATATATATATATATATATATATATATATATATTATATTATTATTACTTCATATGTTATTATAGTGGATACTTGTATTTGAAGTAGATGCTCCACTTTTTTGTTTACGCCTATCAGTTAGCACATTTAAGAAATCTTAATAAAGATAATGTGCTGAAGATAAAATAATGTGGACATAGGAATAAACACTGCATGATGATTGCCAATCTCATACTTCAAGCAATTGCCAAACCATGTGTCCTATAATGGGCATGTATATTTTAAATATATTATGTGAATATTGAATATTTACTGTTTTAAAATGTCCATTTTTAAAGCCATAATGTACACACACACACACACACACACACACACACACACACACACACACACACACACATATATATATGATAAAAATATAGTTTTACAGTACATTATATTTACAGATAAAAGTACTCAATATCAGGAGTAGAGTAAATATAAGTATAAAAGTGGACACTGACTATATTTTATGTTTTAGCATTTTTAAAAAATTTTTGCTTTTTGCTTTTTTTTTACTGAACTTTTAGAGAAAATGGAAACAAAAAGGATATTTATACTTAATATCAGAAAGGTGCCCCATATTTTGGCCTTGTGCCATATCTAAGTTATGCTTAGAAAATCACTATAGATGGTTGGTTAGAAAAGAGGAATAAATACCTTTCTCTTTAAAAAATATCATCATTATCTGTGAAAAGATACCCATTTCTTTTATTAATTTCAATGTTATTCCATAAATTTCTTTATTAGATAATTCGATCGGTGTTATTAATTTTTGACTAAATTATCAACACATCTTCGTTGGGGATTTTATCACAATATTCAGCTTTTATTTACATTTTATGACTGCTATGTTAGGAACATGTACCTGAAATAAAGAAATAGCTATTGCTGAAGTTTGAACGGCAGCATTAGCTACATGCCACCACATTGATGTTGGAAGAGTTTGACATGTGACAGTAACTCACAATCCATTTATTTGTGAACCTGCTGGACAAAGCAAAACTAATGAAAATTTATCACTATTTCATCAGAGATATTTAGACACTTTAAAATTAAGATTTGAAATTTCTAGAAAAGATAGTGAGGAAAGAGATTGATAGACTGAGATAGATAGATCATGAACAGATTGAGATAGAGATGAATGGATTTGGTATGTTAATTATAAATAAACTGAAATAGATAGATAGATAGATAGATAGATAGATAGATAGATAGATAGATAGGGAAAAATAAAACAGGGGGTCCTCAAATTATGTCAGAGATCCATTTCTATGACACAACATAACCTGATTATTAACATAGGTTGCAACTCACCTCCATAAGTACCCACAAGTCTGCCTTACACTTGGGAGCCATAATGAAGGGTAAAAAGTTTTTAAAAAAAAATGACACAAATAAAAGATAGCGAATGCAACACAATCTAATACAGCATTACAACAACAACCTCTTACTCATATAGCACCACCTGACAACATATTATATTATGGGAGATAGTACTGTAGCCACAAAATGCCATATGTTAGGTCTAACATGACCCAAGGACCTTCTGTGTATAAATTTGCAAAATTTATATATAAATTGTAAGCATGAGAAAGAATCTCAAATGGAAACAAAAAAGACTCTTATACTTAGCATCAGAAAGAGATTTGAAATATTTAGGACATATGAGGAAAGAGGGCATAGAAAATTTGACACTCACAGGATATATTGTAGGTAAGAAGGACAGAGGAAAGTAGCACATAACCTACCTAACAAGCTTGTGTAAATATTTAGCAGAACTGGGATTAGAAGAGACAGCAAAAAAGACAAAATTTACTAAGAGATACAAAGGATAGGAAGTTGGGGAGAGCCTGGGCACCCACAGCGTGAAGGGACATGGTATATAGAAGAAAAAGAAAAGACTCTAGACATTATGCTGTTACTATTATTATTTCATTGAAGACACAAAATTTTTCCAGGACCAATCAAATGTCAAAAATTTCTCCTCATCTCCTACTAAATTCTATTCATCAACTACTTTGCCTTCCTGTCTTCACAATGCCTCAATCATAAACCCACGGTTAACAATGAAAATAAAGAAATCTTTCCTTCTTTACCACAAGGCATGTTACTTCTCCTACTTTCATCCCCTCTGCCAAAAGATTTTTCTCTTTCTTTCACTTTCTCTTTTGTCCCTACCCATATCTCTCAGCAAATATTGTCCCATATTCTCATTTTTCTCAATTACTGATTTCACCCGACAAACATGTCTTTGAGTGTATTTATTGGGGATTTCTATACTGGTAATTTCTGTGAAGAACTGAGGCTTGTCAATTGCCAATGGCCATTCCTGATAACTTGCTATGGCATTCTTTAATGCATTATCCAGAGTGACATGCAGGTAGGTAGAAATTTTTAATACTTTCACCAACAATAAAGCACTCAAAATATAGGATGTGTAGAATTTATTTCTGCTGTGTTTCTCTCAATTTTATCTGACACGTGTGTGTACGTCTGTAGATATCTACTCTTGTATTGTATGTCTTATTGTATATATCAGGCAGTTAAAGCCATGGAGGTAAATCATTCATTAAAAGTGGTAGTCTAAAACCAGACAATATTCTTCTATGCGCCACGTCTCTTCAGGACATGAGTGATCATGGCTCTCCACAATTTCCTCTCCTTACTTTCACTTAGTAAAGTATATCTCTTTGCTGTCTCTACTAATCCCTGTACTATTATCTTTACACAAGTTTGCTCTGTTTGTCTCTGTCCCTTTTGATGTCACTATGTACTGAGAGTGTCAACTTTTCTAAGCCCACTTTCCTCATTATGTGCCCTAGAAATTTCAATTGTTTCTTTCTGATATTAAGTATAAGTGTCATTTTTGTTTCCATTTTCTCTAAAACTTCATCATTGCTCACATGTTCAGTCTATGGTATTCTCAGCAACCTTCTGTAGAACATGTTTCTGTTACTTCTTTATTTGTGATGATATTGTCCAGAATTCATTGCATATAGGAGGACTGATATTACATAACAGTTCAGTACTCTTTTCTTTATTTCTAACAAAATTTTAATGTCTCTTGATATTTTGCTTAGCTTTTAGAAGGCATCTTTTGATATCTCATCTTTGGATCTTTGGAGTTTGATGTTGCATTTTCTGTCCTATGCTAAAACACTTCATAGATATTCAAATTTATCCGGCAAGTCAGATAATAAGTTTTAAATATTACTGATTCTATTTTTGTTTTTTTTATTGGATCCTTTCATAAAATTAATATTTTTTAGATCTCTTATTCAACCATAAGCATTTTTGTCCTGATTTTAAATACACACTTGCTGGTTTGTCGTACTTACTTTTTGGATATGTATGGCTGGTGTAACAGACAGCAGCTCAGAAGAAGAAATCAGAAACTCAAGTTTGAATTCTAGTTGAGTTACATTCACTTAAGCATAAATACCCTTGCCAACCAATCTACGAGAAGTCAACTCTGAATTCAAAAACTGTAATGACTATATTTTGGCAAGGCATAGCACCCAGAAGCCACCCCTGCCAATGTTACAGGAAAGAAGGAAGTCATTGGCAACAGGATTTGGGATGTGGTCAATGGTAGAATCTAATTGACCAGATTTTTGGCATTGAACTGGTACCATGCAAAAAAGATTGTTCATAATGGACAACAGGTGACACCTAAATATTCTGAGTCAGATGGAAAATAGTGAAAACATGTAGAATAGCAGTTTGTGTTTCCTAATATATAAACAACCAAAATCCCTAACATAAATTGCACCAGGCAGAAGCATGTGGATGTTATGGGCTAAACTTTTTCTCTGGGCAACACTTTTGGTATAAAAATTTGCTTGTGCCTCACCAAATTTTATATGATAAAAACTACATTTAAAAATAAAAAAAGTAGAGATAGTATTAAAGAAAGATAACTGCAGTTTTAAAATCAGAACATTATCATTGATAACTCTCTCCTCTAATTTGCGGACCCTAGTTACTATATTCTTAATACTTGATATAATGCAAAGATATCACAATGATAAAATTGGTCAATAATTATTTATAACTATTTAGACTGGAACATGCAATTACAAGTAATTTATAATAATATTTTAAATTTTGAAATCATATTTATTTTTGAGCTGCTTTCGCTGGTTTTCAGACTTCATGAATTCAAGCGTCCTACGAGGCTGGCATCCCGCTCTCACCCTTTCACTGTTGAAACTGTTAAATGTAGCTATCTCTTCTACTCCAATAGTTTCATATCTCGCACCTCTTGTCTGTGGAACTCCCTTCCTTTTTCCTGTTTCCCTGATAGCTATAATCTCCAACTTTTCAAATGTAATGTCAATCAACATCTCCAGCCTTGATCTATCCACTATCCTTCTCCTCATCCTTTCCTATATCACTCCGATCTGCTCTCACTCCAAATCCTCTGTAAC